TGGGGGAGGGGGTGTGTATGGGAGTTGAAGAGGAAAGGGTGGGGTGGGATCAGGTTGTCGGGGATTTAAGGGGTTTTCGGGGTTTGTACACCCTTCCTTCCCCACGGTTTCCTTTTTCTTCAACGCCGCACTTGTACGTACGCACCCGCAGGGTAGCGGCACCACTATCTCCAAGGAAATCGACACGGGGGGTGTTAACCTCACCCAGCTGGTTCTGCTGTCGAATGCGCGGGTCATGTTTGCCGCCACGGAGAGCGGCGGAGTGCGCACCTACAAGTACCCCCTTACAGGCGAGAGCGACATTTGGCAACACACATAGGGGTCGTGTGTGTGTGTGCGTGTGTGCATGTGTGCGTGTGTGTGTGTGCGTGTGTGTGCATGTGTGCGTGTGTGTGTGCGTGTGTGTGAACGGGGGGGAGGGGGCCGGGGGAGAAGACGAACCACTGGCGAATGAAGGAGATACCAGCGATAGACGGATGGTCCAGGAGAAGATTAGGAGGGGGGAAGGGAAGAAGGGGAAGCGCGGGGGATTAAACACCGTGTCGGGTCGGGGGAGAAAGGGGGGGGAGTTGCGTGAGGTGATGGCTCTGCTGCCTGCCTGCCTGCCGGCGCTTGCCGGGTTTCCTTCTGACCTGTTGTTGGCGTTGGGGAGGGGGTGCTGAAAAGGGGAAGAGTCGCCGGGGGGATTGCGTGTTTGTGTTGGGGGGTTTGTGCGGGCGGGCTAGGAAGCGCGCGAAACGAGTACAGTTGTCGGCCCTCCCTCTTTCCCGCAGCGCACACGGTTACGTAGATACATACATACATACATACATACATACATACATACATACATACATACATACATACATACATACATACATACATACATACATACATACAATGCAGCGCCATCCCCGGATGGAGGGGCTGCGGAGTGGCTGCGTAGAGTGTTGGCAGTCTGAGTCGGGGTCGGGAGCACACAAGACTAACCGACTTGTGCTGTGTGCTCCCGACCCTTGCGCTGTGTTTCGGCTTCGGCCCCCGGCTCTCGCAGCCCACAGTGTAATCTAAGTCATACATACATACATACATACATACATACATACATACATACATACATACATACATACATACATACACACATATCCCCACTTGCCCCTAACCCCCTCTTCATCCCTCTTCTTACACGCTCTGCGGTGCAGGGGAATTCCAGGAGGCCAAGTGCCACGCGGCGCCCGTGTCGCGGTTGCGGGTGTCCTGGGACGAGTCTTTGCTGGTGGGTGAGAGCGGGTGGTTTAGGGGGAAGGGAAGGGAAGGGAAGGGACACACACGTATACCGTACACATAATATAAATCCATCCTATTATACATTATTATATATACGTAAAATTTATAAGATTACATGTGATGTACATGATTGTATACCTATAAATACATATGTGTGGATGTATGTATGTAAGGGTTTTGTTTGTTGTACGACGGGGAAGCTGGTCACGGTTTACAGCACCATTATGTGGCGGGGGCCAGGGGAGGGGTTGGTGACAGCACCGAGCGACCTTGTGTGTGTGTGTTATTCTACTGAAGGAGGGGGGAGAGGGGGGAAGGGGGAGAGAGGAGATGCAAAAGAGCGGCCATAAGGCCTATCATGTGATATCCATACTCTCCCTCCGTATCTTACCCTAACCCCTTCGCCGTACCGTACACCCGCGTGCAGGTGAGCGGTGGCGAGGACGGCAGCGTGTTTGTGTGGGAGGTTCGTGACAAGGACGCGCGGGCGGCTGCTCGGAGGGAGCAAGAGCGGTTGGAGTTCTCCGTGGAGGTGCTGGTGACCAGGTGGGTCGGTGGGTCGGTGGGTGGGGTTACAGATGGGGGGGGTGGGGC